GTTTCCAAGGGTAAAAACATCGAAAAACAACAAATGCATGAAACAGAAGGTGTTACAATAGGATTTGTCTTTAAACAAAGACATAACGATTACATGAGCATAATACATTTACAAGACATACAAAATGGAAGAATGTAAATGCATCTATAACTAAAACAAAATAATCACATTGTGAAAAGATATATAAAAAAGTAAATAAAAATGGATCATCAAGGAGGAATTTTAAAATACATACACCTATACACATTGCATTAAGATAGGAGTCAAAATTGAAAATGAGTGACTGTTGTACTTTGTCTTTTAATGGTCAAGATTAAAAGGCAGAAAACAGAACGAACAAAAAGCATTGACCAAAGATATTTATATTATTTTAAATACCAGATTATAAAAGGATTCTTTTGTCTTGAAATAAGATACACAAAACCTTATTAACAAATTGGAAGCACACAGTTAGACCAACACGAAATTCGAAATATAGAATACGCCATTTTGTTCTACTCACCGATGGTAGAGATCACTGTGACGGAGAAGAAGAAGGCTCCGGACCAGGACCACTTGTACTTCGGACCGTCCACCAGTCCGTACGCTGAGCAGTTGCCTCCGTCGTATCCTATGTTTATACTGTTGTCGCGGTAGATTTGAAGGATTCCTTGGAGCTGAAACTTCAGCGTGGACTTGTCCGGATTGCCTTCGTAGTCTTCAACTAACTGTTGGATCTTTGAGAGCGAGTCGTTTTCCATGACTATGTATTCCTTGTATGTGTCGTAGCAGATTTGTTCCTCGTTGGACTTTTCAAGATGTTCGAAGATGAATCCTCCTGCAGCACAGTAGAGTGCCACCAAACCACACAGCCCAATGTGGGAGAACATTATTTTCATAATTGTCCGACACCATCCTCCCTTTTCTTGCTTACCCATGCTTGATAGTTAGTGATGTCTGTGATATAATTCCCCAAGTCCAATTATCGTAATTTGGTTTGTAAACTTGACTTGATAAGATAATGATTACTTGCTTTTTGTCTCTTGTCCCCCGAAACGTTCTACATCCTGGCACTATCAGGCTACGGCTGGATGATGTGACAAACCTCAGCGCAACTCAATACACCTGGCTTTTACCTGCGCGTGCTGTTCCTGCCACCCAGCCACGTATCTATCTACGTCTGCTTGCCTCTCATAAGCGATTCGGTTGACATGGGACACCCTGGAAAACATCGATCGACATTGGTAGCTTATACAGGTTCTATAAATTATTAAATAATACATTGGAAAACATCTCAAAATTACTATCGATTTCAACATCTACCATACGACAATACTATGTTCTATAATAATACGTGTGCTCCTTGAACCGGACAGCATGACGGTATGTCATGGATATTTCAACGACCAATATTGCTCTGTCGAGTGATGTTAAAATACCTATGGAAATTGCCATCTACGAATCAATAGCAGAAACAATCCTGAAACGCTGAATGTGTCAGCACGACTCCGTCAATACATTGTGGCATTCAGTTTTGGTCTAGTGATTCTTGTTCCACTTCAGATAGCTGACGCTACAGTTGTCCCGGGATAAAGAACACTGATTTCTGTGTGAACACGAATTATACTAAAAAAGAAATGTGCACTCGTTATATTGAATGTACTCCCTGATCCTTTTGTTGACCAATTGTTTATGTGATACATGATAAGCGAAAGTTATCAACTTTATCCGGTTACTCCGGTTTCCACCCACTCCAGACAGCATCCATTTACCTCCGGAACAACAAGAGTGTTTAGTAACAATTGAAAACAATAAAAGTTAATTCTAAAACGATCACCTCTACCAAATTTAAATAATGATTAAAGAAGGCGAGCTGAAACATGAGTTACTGGATCAATATTATCGATTTATATAAAAAATATTTCACGTCTATATATCATGAAGATGGCATACTTATATAATTAGTACAAAACCATATCGAACAAACCATGCCGTGCTTTGGTTTGTTCAAGAGAATAATCCATTTTTGAGTAAGTTAATAAAGTTTTGTCATTTGGTTTTTCTCTTCGGTTCCATTATATTTTCGTATCGACCCTGTCTTTGGATGTAGAGGCTATATTTAGTACTGGTTTCTTGTGTATTTACATAAGTTGGTTATTACAGGATATTGAAAGAATTATTATATTGATTCCTAAGAGAAGGACCTGAACTGGCTTTATCTCCGATATCCAATCCTGTTGGCATTGTTCAATCTGTTGTCATTATAATGATTTGAAATCGATACACAATATCGATCTCATCACAAGAATCATCTACATGTTTGTAGCATTCGTAATTTATCTGAGAACTACCTGGTAATGCATTTCTTCTAAAAGTTGTTAAAAGTAATCGAAAACCTATTACACGTGTATAACGTATCCGTGGATTCAAGCTTAAATTTCATTTTTATTTGATTTGGTTATATTGGATTTAGCGTCATATTTAACGCTTTAGGCTTTTAATGACGTGCCTCCATGCCAGTAATATGTGTCTGCATGTGTGTGCATGTGTG